GCATGATTTGGGGTCATATTCTTCTCTTTTTTACCAATGGACTTATGGCTAGGAGAGGAAAGGGTCAACTTTCGGGGGATTTTGACACTTTTTCTTGGATTATTTAGTGACATGTCTAAATCTACGGTGGTAGGTGGTATAGTTTTATTGGCTATTTGATTACAATTTAGCGGCCTTTCGGTTGGTGTCGCTCTCTGAGAAGATAATTCTGTGTGGTTAGAGAGGGGTGGTGCGGTGGATTCTACGGTGTCTCTCAAAGGGTTGGGTATAATTGCTGCTTGCAATGTCCTATTGTTTATTCCACAATTAGACTCAGTGTGATAATTATATACGCGCCTTTCTATGACGGTCTTGTCCACCGCAACCTTTATTAGTTTGTAATTTGTGGCTTGCGATAGGGTGTGTTGGGAGTGGGTAAATTTTCTGGCCTCAGCCGGTGTTTCGAACTGAAAACGAATAGGACAAAACTTGTCATGTTGACTCTTCTTCAGCCTGTAGCACTTAGTCTTGGAGTTGGGCGTTTTCGCCTCACTAAGTAGGATGCGCTGTACCTTTTTTAGTGCCTCATTATCCGGAACGTTGTAGACAATAGCATTTAGTTTAGCATCTAGTCGTTTTGTTACTTCTGTAGTAACAAAGTTAATTAGGTTATCCACCTTAGATATCGATTCACTGTCAAGTTTGTTAAGGTCTACAGTTTTCATGAGAATAGTTAAAGGTGTCAGTTCACAGACCTGCAGTCTGATATCACTGATCTGACCTGATAAATTGGAGATTTTGGTATTGGTATCGGAAATTCCAGGATCTACTGACTTATTGTTTTTTAAGTCCCTTAACTCGGCCTTAAGTTCTCCTATAGACAACTTTAGAAGTTCTATTTCTGAAGATAGTACTGAAACAGAGCTTGAAGGCTGGAGCTTTTCGATAAGCACATAAGGTGTAGGGAGGGTTTCTGTATGAACAGATGGTACTGAATTTTTGGGAGTAGTGCTAATACTAGCTGTCAGTGCAGTTTTATCCTCAGTTTCAGCTCGACGCTTACGACATACAAGTGAGTTTTGTGGCTCACTATAACCATTTGTAGGAAGTATGTTGCTTGATGTAGCAATCAACGACTTAAAATTAGTCATCAGTTTTACAGGGGATTGAGTTCGCTGCTTTTTACTTTGGTCAACCATAACTATTAGATATGAGAGTTAATAGTTATAGGTATGGAAGTAGTAGAGGACTTGTGCAAGGATTACAACAAGATAAATTTTATGTAACGAATCACGCAAAAATGTAACGCAAACGTTGGACGTACCGCTACTAGATGCTACTAGATGTCAGCATGCCAAACACTAGGTCGGGATTTGGGTTGAAAACTGACTAAATTGCCAGCCCTTAAGTTAAAATCTAACACCCCATGATCACTGTTTGCTAGAGGTGGATGAATAACTAGACCATCCACGTCGTCGTTGTCATGAGTAAGCACTAAGTCCAGCAAGGAAGATCCTTGGGTAGAACCGAATCTTGTACTACCTAAGACATGTTGTGTCAGGGCATTTTCCATGGTAGTCAAGAGTAACCGGCTGTCAAACTTATTAGCGGATTCTGGAGATGTGACAGCTACCCAGTCTATATGAGGTGCATTAAAATCACCTAGAATAAGACAGCTACTGTGTTTACTCCATTGTTTGAGGTGATCAAAAATAAAGTCATCACACTGACAATTAGGACTTGTATACAGAACTCCAACGAGTAGAGTGCCAGTTGCAAAGCTTACTTCACAGCTAATTACCTCACTTGTCCCACTGCCATGCGCTTCAGATTTCACGGAACGAACATGTAGGGAGTTGTTGATGTACAGAGCAACCCCGCCACCTCTACGACCCTTAACCCTGTCGCTGCGCAAGCAACTAAATCCGCATAGCTCAGGTGTGTCATCTAATCTAGAAACCAGCCATTTTTCAGTAATGGCCACAATACTTGGGCTAAGGTCTTCCACTAATACACCTGGCTCGTGAAATTTGTTCCCGATACTACGTATATTAGTGTACACTACCTTCAGGCTTCCTATGCGGTCCGGCTTATCCACACAGGTCTTGGAAGCATACGTTTCCAAGACCTGACTATTTGAAAACCCACCAGTTTAAGGTTAGTTTCACCGTTTTTAAGTCTTGTTTCTAGCTGGGACAAAACTTCTTTTCGTTTTAGTCTGTCTTCAAGAGATAAATCAGGTCTGACTGAAATTCCTGACCCGGAAAGGTTGTTTACATTAGCCAGTAGATGATTCCGTTCATCAGGAGAACCTAAGACTACTTTAAGCAACCTACGCTGATTAGAACACTCATCATCTCTTTTGCCTATTCTAATCAGCTTTTTAATCGATACTCCAGGGAAATTCGCTGGGAGCATCTTCCTTATAATACTACTCACTAATTTAAGTTCGTGATTGTGCCTTTTTACGGTATCAGATTCTTTGGACTCTTCTAAATTTCGAACAATTATCTTAGAGTCTAAGGAGAGCTTGTCGTGTTTAGCAGTGGCTACGTCTTTTCTCACAACTATTGATGCAGCCTGGCTACAGGCGACAGACGCTCGCCTACCATCAATATTACTATGTTTCTTCCGATTGCTTATTTTCGTTACCCACTGATCATCTGCCTGCAATTGCTTCTCAGGGCTGCTGCAGTTTTTGATGGTACAATCAAGATCAGTATCTGTACCACCTTCATGGTGAACTTCGCTTACAGTGTTCTCTGGTGCTGAGATGCTGTTTGAAGCTTCCGTTTTGTTACCTTTACGTTTGCTAAGGCACTTTGAACGCCTAGTAGGTTTTACTTCCGGGGTAACTGGGATAGTAACCGCCGGTGTGGTAACATTCATTATGGCACTTACTGCGTCATCTTCAGACGGGCAGTCTGTGTCACTATTACTAGCCACGCTATCATCAGGAAGTTCCATGGCTTTAGACAGTAGTTCGTGAGCCCCCCTTATCAAAGTTATCTTTGGGAAGCAACACATTCTGCACATCCAGTGGGATGTTGGAGCACTACAACGTTTGTATGCAGCTGGATGTAATCCAGTACATACCTTATGATACCACTTTTGATTCGACTTATTTTATTCCTATTCTCTATAGGGTACGGTTGTGCACCAAATACACAAAAAGGTATGAAATAAAGACAACCGGCTTGTGGATAATTGTATTAAACCAAAAGTGGACATCATGATAGTAAGACCTATATGGGTAGCATTATACATTGCAAAGGAACTTTGACAGCCTAGGGATTCTAGTCTCCCACTGTATTTCTTTTATGAATGCATATATTAATGATACATTGCATTTACCCATTTCATTACACTTTAATGATTCACCTTAGCACCTTTACTTTTCTAAAACAGCTTACTATCCCTTGTAAACGTTGTATTTACGTCAATATTGGTTGATTATCGTATGCCTACAACTACGGGTTGAAAACGAAACGAAGTCGATTTTCCTGCGCAACCGGGAGGACTGCTGTTTAATTCTATAATGATACGACATGGGTCAGACAAAGAGTGTATTTATATATATATATATCAAATATTTAGCTGTTCAAACATTATTAACTTGTAGACAGTCTACTATTTGACATTATATCATACTTGATCGTGCCTGTAAAAATGGCATGCATTTTCATGTAAATTTATGTTTATATGAAAATATAAATTATTATTATTAAACTGTTAATTTCCTTGGCGGATATAATCTATATTCCACTTACGGGAATTTTCCAAATGTCACTGACCCAGGTTAATTTACCCGGGGACTGGAATAATGCCACTATAAGCCCTATATTCAAAGAGGGGAACAGGCAATTGGTATCTAACTACGGGTCGGTAAGTCTGACATGCAATATAGCGAAGATATTGGAAACAATTATAAGGGATCAGCTATTAGCTGATGTGGAGAAACATGGCTTGCTGGAGGTGCAACAGAATTGATTCCGACCAGGACGATTCTGCCTGACAAATCTGCTATCGGCTAGGGAAGGCTGCGTTGAGGCCAGAGATAAAAACCTTATGTTGGGCATGTTTTTTATCGATTTTAGTAAGGCATTCGATAAAGTATCCCATTCTCCTTAGTAAACTTAAAGATTTCGGACTAGAGCAATGTCTATGTGAGTGGTTTAAGGATTACCTGATGGATAGAAGGCAGAAGGTTAGGGTTAACGGTGTACTATCAAGGTGGAAAACAGTATCTGGTGAAATGCCTCAGGGAACTGTATTGGGCCCCTTGCTGTTCCTATTATGCGTTAATGAACTACCGGGGATTCTTGCTTCATCTCCATTATTATTTGCGTACGACACTAAGATTTGGAAAACTGTAATTAATAACGATGATAGGTCAGCCCTACAAAGTGATCTAGATAAATTGGCTAAGTGGTCGAACCTGTAGGGTTTGGGAATTAATTCTAGGAAAAGCGCTGTAATGCACTTAGGTCAGAAGTCATATACGTCGTACTCCCTAGGGGACACAGAACTACCTGATGTTAACGGTCAGAAGGACCTAGAAATTATTGTCAGCAATGATTTGAAAACAACTGCAAATTACGATCAAGATGCAGCCAAGGCTTTTCGAATGCTATGGGCACTCCGAAGAGCTTCCAAACGATGAGATGAGTCTATGTTCAAAGTACTCTATGCAGCATGTCAGGCCTCATCTAGAATACTGCACACAAGTGGCTAGTCCATGCTTCAAGAGGCAGGGACATATCTTAGAAAGAGTAGAAGGGGTAGGAATCAAATTAGTTAGTGGTATCCCACACCTTCTTTATGACAAAAGGGTGGAGCATTTAAATCTCTTCCCGTTATCGTACCGAAGGAAGAGAGGAGACTTAATTTTAGCATACCGTATACTTAAGGGTGATTTAGGAACTGACCTTTCTAAGTTTTTCTCCCCTTCTAGAATACATTTACGGGTCACCGTTAAAAGGTGCTCAAATATAGGAAGATTAAAATACATGAGGAATTTAGATTCTCTCACAGAGTTGTCAACGATTGGAAATCCTTACCTGATTCGGTAGTATCAGCTCCATCGGTGAACGCTTTCAAAGAGAAGTTAGATCTCTACAGACATATACTTTATAAGGATTAACACAGGCAACAAGAGCCTATTATCCATTTCATCTGAATCTGAAACTCAAGCGCGTTCGATGAAACTTGCGCCTCTTAATGGTTAACAAGGGTGACAACTGTTCCTCGAAGTTAGAAGGGATCGATGTAGAACTTTCTAAAATAGAAGAGAAGTTAATTGGTTTTGAGGAATGTAAAGATAAGACTTTCGCCTCTTTGGAGACAGGGATAAATACGCTCCAAGCTGTGCTCCAAGATCGTAAGTGTACTTATGATTGTAATTCGTCTGTCAGTTACTTTGTTAACAAACACTTTTTGTCTCCCTAAATAGGCATATTTAGGAACTTATTATATTTCATGAGCATATCTGGAACCTATACCTTATAATCAAGAAGCGACCTCAAAGAAATCACTGGTTTATACTAGCTCGTAATCAGGATATTGGATATTGAAATGCAGTTTTTAGCGTTTAATTCTGTACACATATACGAATATATATACCATTAGAACAATCACAGCGTCATGTAGCATTCACTGTTAGATGAAGTAAACTATGAACGTTGGCTTCTGGAGTATACTTGCACATAAAAATATGGTTTCTGATCGTAATGACTCAGCAAAAATGTTTGTACATGCTTCAGGGACTAATTCGTACGTTGGTTTTGCCAGTGAACTCAAACATAGTGTTTTGTGTAAAATTAGTTAAGGTAACAGTTCAGCTGTGCGAGATTTAAAGTTACCAGCCCAAAGTTTTCTTGCCTTTTCTGTTGAGTAGCATCACACGGGTCTTGTGCATTGCATATTTTCTGCAAAACGTAATTGGGAAAATCCTAGAAAGATAGTAATTGTAGTTTGAATGTTTTATGCCTTAAATCACAGAATTTGCAGTCCCACTGGATTTTTAACTGTGACTTAAATATGCACTAGTGCGTAACTATCCTAGACATTTTCTGTACACGGATATTTAAGGAGGTAGAATCAACTATCTAAGCCTACATCATCCTTACATGGATATCTGAGGTTTCGGTGGATTCTCAACAAAGTAATTTTCACACACTACTGATCAGCGATTTTTATTGTATAAAGAAAGGTATGTATAAACAACAGAGTTCTCGTTTCGATCCTCCTTTAGTACTTCTCCCTACTAGACAAATGATAATTTATGAAGCACGGCTTCGAAAATCCTGTTGTCCTTTCGTCTAGGTGCCGAAAACAGAGCAGACATTTGTCTTACGAAATTACATCCGGAGTGGCAAAGTAAATTCAGGAGCTAAGTGAAAGTTGTCATAGCGATTGTGGGAAACAGTGGGTAAATGGAGTAAAGGAAGTAAAAAGGCATCACTACTGGTTAATACTCTCCGATTGTTTAAACTTCTGCGGATAATAGGGTCTAGAAAGGATATGGTAATCTCTTAGAAAGGTCCAACTCTAATGATTTCTCACGAAATAGAACTAAAACGTTGAATAGAATATTTTGAAGAGCAGTTTAACAAGCTCACAGGTAAGATGTAACTGCTGTTAACCAACTTCACACTGAATGTAATGTAGACGTCAGTCCTCCAACTGTAGGCGAGGTTGCGAAACCTGTTCAACCTAAAATGATGCAGAACGGCATAATGCATTGATTTCCCTCCAGTGTTTGATGATAGCGGTGATAAATAAATAGATTTTAGACCAGGATAGGAGTTAAATATTTACGACGGGTTCTGGAACACAGACATAATTATTGATACCCAACACTTAGAATATTTCTGGGGTTGGTGACGGCATTTAACTTCTTTGTGGCGACTTTTAGCTATGCGGGGTGTGCTAGGAAAGCATTTCATTTTAATCAAGGCATTTAACTCAGATTTTTTCAGCATGAAAGTGATTATGGAGTTCTGACATCTGAAGTAACGGTAGCTGCTGGTGTTTATCAGGGACATGCATTGTCACCAATTTCATTTGATCTCAACGTAGGTGTATTGATGGAGTGACAGGTCAAACATGGTGTATGAGAGATTGACGCAGAGTATGAAGATGATATAGTCTTTTAGGTGAGGAGGATGACACCGTGAACAAAAATCTGTGTTTGGTGTGAGATTCGCTCTTGTCAAATTTATCGTGTTACAAAACTGATCTGCACTATCTCTTAGTTTAAGGGTTGGGAATGAGATAGTCGGATATGTTGATTGCTTCGCTCTTCTCTGAAACTATATCATCCTTAGTGGACTAGTTACCGGTGAATTTTCATTAGGGATATAAAAAGGCTCGTTTTGCAGTTTCCAGCTCTAGTCATTGTTCGTGTGTGATATCCATTCATCCATACATAAAGCGGCCTGTGTCCTAGGCAGTGGTTGATTCTGTTCTAATTTTCAGCTGAGATATGGCTACTGAAGTTCGAAGACTAGGTCTTTGACCATAGGTATCTTCATTTATTTACTCATATTAGGTGGGGCGACGTTTTTTTCCCTTCACGTTCCCCAGTAGAACATAGGGCTTCGAGCTAGTGGCTTGAAGTTTCTGTAGCAGTGTTTATTTTATAGGATGGGGTTGCTAGCCTCATGCCCAACCTTTCCTCTTCACCAGCATTATTTCTGGCTTGGCGCGGTAAAGGAGTGCGTCGGCCGGGGGTCGAACCTCGGATCATGTGCATGGTCGGCGAGCGTCCTAACCGCTATGCCACAGACGCACGTGGTCAGCAATAATACAGCCAGGTGCAGTGCTAGGTAAGAAGGACAAGGTGATCGACGAGACTATGAAACCATAACAATTGGGGAGGCTAGGACATGTTGATTACAAAGAACCGTGGTGATTAATACTAGTTAGAGTAGGAATAGATGTAAAAAAGCTAGTGGTAGTCAAACCAAAACATTGGAGCAATCCATAAGGTCACTGTTTGAGTTATGTTGCGGAGTGTAGACAGTAAGGACAGGGTCTTCTGTGAGACATTTTGAAGTAGTTCAAAACCGTTTGCAATAGCATAGATATGTCCACACCTTGTTGTCACACAGAATATGAAAATTTTCACTCGTCATGTAATTATTTACTCCATTGTACCACTGTTTTTCCATTATCATCTTATTTTGTTACTGTTCTCTTATTTTGTCTACCTTTCCAAAGTGTGGCAAACATAAGCGACTCTTTAGTGCTAAGCAGAGATATGGTTCGTCTGCTCAACCACTTGACTTTTAGCCAATAGGTTCCAGGTTCATGTCTCGCCTTACCTACTTCAACCTGTGCAGCTGGGTAGTATCATTAGCTCTCAGACTATTTGTGATTCATAGTCTAGTACATGAAAGGCTTCTTTTGGGTAACTGAGTTCTCACCAAGGTCTACGTTGTTTTGCTGGTCTGTCAGTCAGTTATTATACTCACGGGTTACCGGTTGTAATCATGGATCTCACATATAAATATGGTTTACATTGAAGGTTTTCTCTTAGGTCAGTCGTCCACATTTAGCGATCTGATGATACACACCGGGCAATCACATTCATCCTTCCATTTTTCTAGGGACGCCTGTTCCCGTGTAAAAGAAGTGGATTGAAATGACCTTTCAGACACCATAAGCTGGTGACCACATGAGGGATTTTTCAAGGAGGAGCACAGAGGACACATAATCTTTGCCATGTTAAGCAATTTATAGAGTGAGCGAAAATGCACTGGGTAACCGTGTGAATAATAATAATATGTGTTAATTGTGGGAATTAGTGTTATTACAATGATGTTAGGGACAGTAAATACTGTACAATATATAGTATATTTTAAAAGCTTGATTAAATAAAATTTTCGGGAAATATGTGAGTGGGTAATCAGAGGCTAAGCAAACATAATAGTATTTTTTTTTACTTCGGCTATCTCCTACGGGAGGATGAGCCGGCTTCATGAACATCTCGAATCATCGCTCCCCAGGCGCGGCGATCTGATGAAGAGAGTTTACGAAGTTTCATGGGAATTTGGTACGAGTGATGTCCCCAGAACCACTCGGCCTTTTGTTTGAGAGTGCAGCTCTAGCCTTTACACACACAAGGCAGTAGGAGTGGAGTAGGGTGTCCACTATCCATTGGCAGCCGGTGACCGGAGTTCGATTCATACGCCTTTTTGAATGGGGCCAGACATCCAGGACATCCAACAAGCCCTTTGTCCATACGTCTACCGGTGAGCTCCAGTGGGCTTCATACGCCAGTCGTTGGAGGTTTGGAATCAGGGTTTAGCCATCTCCCCTAGACTGTCATCCAATGGACAGTCAACCCGGTGAAGAGCGCCGGGCATCCGCTTTCGCCCTCTCACTTTGGTGAAAAACACCTCCGCCACGTGAAGGCAGTGAGTAGGACTTCCTCAGGAGAGGCTATGTAAGACGCCCGGTCACATGGGAGCATTTCAAGAGGTGTGCGGAGGGGTGGCCAACCCGCAGCGCGAGGCACCCACCCCCGACCATCCTGAGGCTTTGGAGGCCAAACATAATAGTATGCATAAATCACATTGATATTAAGTAATTAGGTTAGATGTAATATGGTTAAAACAGTTCAACAGTGGGAAGTCAAAACTTCAAGACAGAAAGCGATATCATGAGGAAAGATTCAATATAACTGACAGCAAGTGAACTAAAATGGAATCTTCAAATGTCCACTGAGAATCCAACAACTAAAAAAAAACCCAGATAGTAATAACAGTACATGAAGTAGGTGAGGAATAAAACAACAGGAGGAACTGAAAATGAAATCTCGTCTGTTAAGTTTGCTTCAGTCGAAGAGGTGTCAACTTCGGGACACGAAAATGAACTATCCGTTCAAAACCCACACAACCCCACTTATCTATGAGATAGACAGGTTGTTTCGGATATGTTTGTTGTGTGTATTTTATCCAATGTTGGTCTGAAGTGATAACTGGAAATAAATAGGTTTGTTCTTGCAAATTCTATCTATTTATTGGTTGGCTCCGTCTCAACGAGTAAAACAGGTGTTGCGTAAGTGCTTTACATAAAATGTGATGCATCTCCTGATGTACAAATTTGTGTTTCTAATCATAATCACATGAAAAACGCCACAACTGCTAAGTGACTAAAAGTTTTGATGTTAATGAATGACGTATCTATTGCCAACAAAAACAGATCTTTGAGGGTGTAATTTTAAATGACTTTGCTCAATAAGCCATGCTTTTAATATGCATATGTTTGAAAATAATAGGTAAAGTAAATAATGACTTCAGTAGCTTGCAAATATCCCTCTCATTCCTTCTCAAAGGCTCTCGTTGGAATTATTATTTATTGCTACTGGGACCAGTTTATGCTGCAGCGCTGTTCAACAAAAGATGGTTACAACAGGTTTTTCTGTTGCCACACAGTCATTTCAACCACTTTAGGTTTAAGATCCTATCACCTACCTTGCCTTTCTTGGATATTCGATAATTATAGTCCAAGTTTTATAAATACCAGCTGATAGTACTGATTTTTTGTGTATCAGTAGTCTATTAGGAGTGATGCTTAAGCATTTTAAATGATACGTTCTAGGTTCAAGACCTAGGGGGAACACCACCGCTCTCTGAAATGCAGGTTCTGTCAGCTGATCAGTCCCAAAACAGGAATTAACCTATATCTTGTATTCCACTGATAACTGTTACTTTTCCAATTTATGTGTAATGATGTGAGCTTAACTGTTCATCTTGTTTTTGGTACACTAGAGTAGTCCTTTGGAGGTATTCACAGAAATATATTCCACCTAAATCTCAGAATGGAACACCAATCCTATTCAACAGAATGCAGTCAGATCTTATCACAGCAGCAAGTGTATTAAAGGTGATATTATTTTCAGATGTATAAAGTGGTCATCGCGCCTAATCAGTCAACTCATTATTCTTAAGATAGGTAGCTGAAAATTCTAGTCACAATAAATAATATAGTACAACTAGGCTACCGGATACATTTTCTGTACCAGGCTTTTGCCCATACTTCATCCAGAAGGCGCTTGTCTGGCCTGTACCAACTTACACCATCTCTGGTGTAGTCGTGATATGTGGTTGGCTGTCGATCAGAGGCCTTGTGTATACTGCTCAGCAGTTCTCTGCGTCCTCCTTTATGTCTGTGAGCAAGACATGACCATTGAAAGTGAAATATATGAAAAGCCTAGCTGGCTGTCTTTGGTTATAGGCGTCTGCGTTCTATTTCCCATGTTAGGTGGTATAATTGGTTAATAATTGATTAATACTGAGGTTAGGTGTGGAATGTTAGGTAAGGAGCGTGAGTCGATCTATGAGGTTGTGAAGCAACATCGATTGAGAAGTCTAGGACATGTGTTACGCATCCGTATTCATCGCCTTCCTCTTTGAGCAGTGTTAGCTGACATAGGATGGATCAGGTTGGAAAAGAGCTAGTGGTGGTAGTCAGACAAAGACGTGGCATCAGTTCAGGTAGGCAGGTGTAGATTGACTATCTGGTTGGGGTCCTCGGGACGCCGTAGATCAATGACTCAAAGTTGTTGTCATCGGTGAAGATGCCTCCCTTTTGTCTTTCTTTGTGTGGTAATCGGAGTGCGGCAGCTCGAATTGCTGTACTTCTTTGCAAATCTCTATGTTGAAAACCAGTCAGTCACACTTAATGCGTCGGAGTTTATTATGTCACCCGGATAGAATTAATTAGAGCAGGGTTGAAATCAGAATCATTGCTGGTCAATGTAATTTCATTTCTAGACCAGTGATAAATTGTTTTTCTTACTCAATAATATACTTTTTTGTTTGAGAGACTACTATTCAGGTATCATCCATTTATATAAGATACAAATCAATAGGTATCTGTAAATATCTTTTTCTTATTAAAATATACCACTGTCTTTTGTGTTTTAAAAAGTAATTCGGCATAACAGCTTTAATTCCTAAACCCCTACTGGTTTGTTATTTATGTGTCATTAAGATAATTTAATATTTAGTGCTGTAAAATACCAGTTATGTATGTTGAATGTATATATATTTGTATTGTTTCCACTTTCTAGGGTCTCATGACGTGTGTTGATAGTCTTTAAAACAGAAATGTTTCGAATATAGTAGTAGTATCTGATGTTTATTTAATTTAGCCTAAATTATGATTTATGGGTGATTTCTTTATAGTGCTATGCAGAGTTGTCGTAAGAGTAATCAAGATAATTGTGTGCCTAGGACCTAGTCTAATCGATGCGGCATGCGTGCACTTTTGATCTCAATATTCGCAAGGTATCATGTGTTAACGACTTGACTTTCTTTATATATTTGATACACGAACCATGCGCCAGGTGTGCGTGTGTATGTGCAATATATACATATATATTTTAGAAAGTGTAATTGATATTATGTTTCTCTTTGTTAAATAAATGTGGTATGAACTTAAGCTTACAATAGAATAAATAATAAAGAATAATCATTGTTTAGATGATTGAGTTTTATATATTTGAGTAGTATTTCAATAATTATAAAAAAATAATCACTTCATTCTGAACAGCATTTATAGAGTGATGTACAGAATTTTCTTTCAACGGGAATTATTGCATAATAGTTTCTTTTGTTGTCTAGAATCTTTCAATAAATAAAGTAGTAAGTGACAGAGAAGGCTTGTTTCGCATATGCTAGTTTTCGCCGTTTCTGGCTTAGCAGACGTGATATCCGGCTGACTGACTATCGACCAAAAGGCGGATGTACTGCTCAGCAGTCACTTCACTCCGTCCTCGTTTATGGCTGTGAGCGAGACCTGGCCATTGAAAGTGGAAGACATGAAAAGCCTGGCTAGTTGTATTTGATCATAGGCGCCTGCGTTCTATCTTCCGTGAGAAGTGGAATAATAGGGTGAGCAATATTGAGGTTAGGCGTCGGTCGAGTGCTAGGTAGGTGGGAGGGGAAATCAATCGACAAGTCTGTGCAGTTACATTGATTGAGACGGTTAGGGGCATATGTTACGTATGCCTAGCTTAGCCATCGCCTTCCTCGACTGTCAGTGTTGTTGCTTCGAATGAATGAGGGTGGTTTAAACTTCCTAATTGCCAGCTAGGGCTTCCAAAACCTTTTGGGATACGCCCTCCACCAAACACGTTTTATAGATAGGTTTAAAAGACGTGTAAACATCAGTTTTTATGTTCTGTCTCTGTAATATGTTTCGCGATAGAGTGGCTGGGTTGCCTGTTTTCAACATTATTGGGTTCTGGGAATTCCATTTGCTTCTGAAGCCATTTAGAAATGTGCTCTGAAGCCAGCCCTTACCTGCAGAGATCGATGAGTACTTCCTATGTATGTGTGACCACACTTACATTCAAATTGGTAGAGAACATAAAACTGATGTTTACACGTCTTTTAAACCTATCTATAAAGAACGTGTTTGGTGGAGGATGTATCCCAAAATTTTTGGAAGCCCTTGCTGACAATTAGGAAGTTTAAACCACCTTTATTCATTCAAAGCAACAATTCGTCACCACATTAAACCTACCTTCCTCGGTAAACTTTGTATTGATACCAGCCAGGGTAGATGTACTATTACCTCCCTTATTTGGTTTAGTCATTCATCTTCATTGTTATTTTGACCTTCAATATATCCTTGCAATTTGACCTAAGACTATTTTCTCACCTCTTAACTCTGTATTAATTTTATATATATATATATATATATATTTCATTCCTATGACAAGTTCGTGTGTGTGTGATCAGATTGTTGGAAATGTGTTGCGCAAATACACTAAACACACGATTTCGACAAATTACATCTTACTGCTATGTCTCAATTCATAAAGGGAACTGATTGTTTTAAATATACACATATAGGACAAATTGTGAAACCGTGTGACTAAGTTAATATGATTATGAGCAATAATATATATGCACGGAACGTCATCCAGTTATTATTAGTGCTACTGCTGTATGATATATTTGAAATAAACATATCCAATATAAAATTACGTTCCACTACAGTGCTCAAGTGTTTTCTACACTTACAATTTTCATCTCGGTTCTTTTGCACTATTATTACTTAGCTCGATAATCACAGTAGTCACAGTCGGTCGGTCGGTCGGTTTTCGACATAGAACTTTGCACATATGTGCGGCAGTTCAATTCGCCACACTCCCTCCTTGTACCACACAAATCAAGAGAAGAAAGTAGAAGAAATGCATAATATAGTCAGTAAACAGAGGTGTGAGACAAAGGAATAGTAATAACGGAGAACAAAACAATTTCATTGGAAATCATAAGTCACAAGAAGTGGATGCATCTGCGCCAGCCACTGAGAACGATCACTTTGACCCATATCACCAATTGTTTCCAACCATTGGTTTTTACCCTCCCGAGGACCCAAAACAGGAAGTCTACATCTTCCTACGTGGCTTAAGCTAACTGTTGTGGATTTCATTGACTGGTGCCATGTTTTCGTTTGACCGCCGCTAGCTCTTTTCCAGCCTGGCCCTATATCAGCTAACATTGCCCATTGTCGAGGAAGGCGATGACTAGGCATACATAGCACATGTCCTAACCATCTCAGTCGATGTAATTTTACAGTCTCGTCGACTGATTTCCCCGCCTTACCTAGCACTCGACCGATGCCTAACCTCAATATTGCTCACCTTATTATACCACTTCACACGGGAGATAGAACGCAGACACCTATGATCTTCTGCTCTCAATGGCCAGGTCTCACAGCCATAAAGGAGGACGGAGCGAACTGTTGAGCAGTACACACGCCCTTTGGTCGATAGTCCACCGGATGTCACGTCTACGCCAGAGACGGTGTAAACTGGCATATGCGAACCTAGCCCTCTGTATTCGTGCTGAGATTTCGTTGGAGATCAACCCGTTGGCACTGGCTGATGGTACTCCCCAAGTAAGTGTAGCGGTCAACGTGTTCTACCACTTCACTTCCTATTTCTAATCTAGGGGTCGGTGAAGTCCAATCCTGCAGCATCACCGTACATTTTGCAGGGACGAATCGCATGCCAAACATACGAAGATTGCAGCTCAAGGTGTTTGGAAGACTCTACATTTTGTCAGCGTCCTCGACACTAGTCACATTTATAATTGGTGGATTGAGGCGCTCTTGAAAAAAAAGGCTCGGGTGGTGCTCTTCATTCACATTTATTACTTTTATACATATTATATTATGTGTAATATGTCTAGGTGTATTTAAGTAGTATGCTTATATATATATATATTTATTTATATATTTCCTTATTTTTAGCTGATAATTTTTTCAATCTTAAAATTATTATTGAACAGTTTGTAACAAGTGCAAGAGCAAAATTATCCGATTATATAAAATCTCATCGTGATATTCACTTACCGATTTCAAAGTTTGGAAAACTTGTAGACAAGGTAAGCATTTCTTAGATTTTATTGATTATTATCACTATTATTATCATTTCCTTTTAGAGTTTTGTAGAGGATCTTTCTCATCTGACTACCTATTTTACAAATCGAGAAAAGAAAGACAGTCAAATATCTAAGTCATCATCAACAGGAAAAGCTTTGTTGAACACACCGTCAATATTATGCGAAAATGCATTGGCAAATAAGTCTCCAGATGATCTTTTACGTCTAGTTATCATTGAACACTTACTTCGTGAAGGACATCAGTCTTTAGCTGTAGATTTAATGCATGTAAGTATTGTTATTATTATCGTCATTTGTCCTTTGGGTTCCGAGTGGAACGAACATAGGGGGAGGGCTTCAACAACACATCTCCACTTTGTTCTATTTGGTGTTGTCCTCTTCACACGAGTAAACCAGACAGGTTTTAGGCCAGGAAGAGGGTGTATTTATCATATCTTCACCCTTCGACAGATTCTAGAACATAGGCATTCCTACCGGCGTCCGACAATCACTATATTTCTTGACCTAAAGGCGGCATTCGATTCTGCCGACCGAGAGCTTCTCTGGCGATGCTTGGCTGTAAAGGGAATGCCGAGAAAATACATTGCACTGATTAAGGCACTCTACTCGTACTCATGCAGCCAGGTGAGGGCTTATGGCGAGTTGTCATCTGAAGTGGTGACGACTAGTGGCGTCCGTCAAGGATGCCCATTATCCCCATTCCTATTCAACTTCATCATAGACGTACTAATGGACTTAACCCCAACACACTTCAGCGACTCAGGGATTGACTTGCTACCAGGGAATAATCTCGTTGACTTAGAATATGCGGACGATATAGTCCTTCTAGGCGAGGACGCTGAAAAAATGCAGGGTCTACTGAACACCTTGAGCTGCAATCATCGTATGTTTGGCATGCGATTCGCCCCTGTAAAATGTAAGGTGATGCTGCAGGATTAGACTTCACCGACCCCTAGATTAGAAATAGGAAGTGAAGTAGTAGAGCACGTTGACCGCTTCACTTACTTGGGAAGTACCATCAGTCAGTGCCAACGGGTTGATCTCCGACGAAATCTCAGCACGAATACAGAGGGCTAGGTTCGCATATGCCAGTTTACACCGTCTCTGGTGTAGACGTGATATCCGACTATCGACCAAAGGGCGTGTGTACTGCTCAACAGTCACTTCGCTCCGTCCTCCTTTATGCCTAGCTGTGAGACCTGGCCATTGAGAGCAGAAGACATGAAAAGATTAGCTGTCTTTGATCATAGGTGCCTGCGTTCTATCTCCCGTGTGAAGTGTTATAATAAGGTGAGCAATATTGAGGTTAGGCGTCGAGTGATAGGTAAGGAGGGGAGATCAGTTGACGAGACTGTGAAATTACATCGATTGAGATGGTTAGGACATGTGTTACGTATGCCTAGTCATCGCCTTCCGCGATGGGCAGTGTTACCTGATATAGGGTCAGGCTGGAAAAGAGCTAGCGGCGGTCAAACGAAAACATGGCACCAGTCAATGAAATCCACAACAGTTAGCTTAAGCCACGTAGGAAGGTGTAGACTGCCTGACTGGTTGTGGTCCTCGGGACGGTAAAAACCAATGGTTGGAAACAATTGATGACATGGCTCAAAATCGTTCTCAATGGAGCAGATGCATCCACTCCTTGTGACTTATGATTTCCAATGAAACTTTTGTTCTCCGTTATTACTATTCCTTTGTCTCACACTTCTGTTTACTGACTATAATATGCATTTCTTCTACTTTCTTCTCTTGCTTTGTGTGCTGCAAGGAGGGAGTGTGGCGACCTGAACTGCCGCACATATGTGCAAAGTTCTATGTTGATAACCGACCGACCGTTGTCGTCTTCATCTGGGTCCACATGATTACGCGTTATCTCTCATCTCCTCCTCCAACTCATACCCTCGAAGCCACGACTCACTTGTCGCTTCTTATTGGTTTTCCACTCGAGCGATAACCGGCATTGCACGCGATGTCATTCCATGGCCTCTTCAGTGGCGTATGCCCTATCCATCTCCACTTTATTCCACATATTTTTTGAACAATCGTCTCTTGGTTGGTTTACTTATCGTCAGCCAGGGCTTCTGGCCGGCCGGTCGGCCATTTGATCTTCACTATGGTGTGCCAGCCAGCGAAGGTGGCAGCTGTTGATAAAAGTTTGAAGTGGCTTGTTGGAAATCCTTCTCGTGACATACTGACTGCCAAGTTTCTGATCTGTATAGAAGAACTGACTGACTGACTTCACATTCATGCTGAACAGAATCCGAATTTTGTTGTTTATGTTGGCTCTGAGTGCAGTGCAGAAGATTTCCAAACTGGCGTATGTGTTGCCTTTTCGATTCTAGTTGGCCTGTTTTGGTATCTTCATCCGTTCCGACTGCCGGTGTGGTTGAAACCATGCCTCCTAGTCAGATAAGTGAAGGAAGTAACCTCTGTGAAATCTCTCTCCCGTTGATGATGATTGGTGGTTGCTGGTTCGCTATCTTCATCACCTCCATCTTCCCTATGTTCGTAGTGCTAGATAATTGTAACCTTCCTTGCTTCTTCCTTTTGAGTTGAATCTTGCTATGTCATCATGTGCTGAATGAGATTGGTTCCCACTGGTGATATCGTGATAGCCTAGCCACTCCCTCGATGTGCTCGCGGTTGTCTGGGTGACTGGAATGGACTATTGGCCTTCGAGTTAACAGTTTTGACGGTCCACATACATTCGATCTACTCTCGCAGATTCCGTGTGCACTTCTACACCATATCTTTTCATTTCTTTGGCTACCTGGCCAGACTTCCCGGCTTTGGACATTGTGTGAACATTCCACATCCACATTCTTATTCTTGTTTTCTTCGGTTGAAGACATATCGGTTGACTGGTTTCTGGAAAGTGGGCTTTTTACCAGCCCGCATCATATTGTTTCTCCGATTCCAGTGAGGAATAAGCCTTATCCTATGTCAGCTAACATTGCTCGTCGAGGAAGGAGGTGGCTAGACATGCGTAATACACGTCCTAGATATCTCAGTCGATGTAACGTCACAAACTCATCGGTCGACTTACCCTCCTTACCTAGTACTCGACGAGAACCTCAACATTACTCACCCTATTATTCCATCTAAAAGGGAGATAGAACGCAGACGCCTATGGTCAAAGACAACTAGCCAGGCTTTTCATGTCTTCCACTTTCAATGGTCATGTCTCACAGCAGTTAAAGAGGATGGAGAGAACTGCTGAGTAGTACTCACAAGGCCTCTGATCGATAGTCAGCTACATATCGTGTCTACGCCAGAGATGGCGTAAGTTGACACAAGTCAGACGAGCCTTCTGTATCTGTGATAAGATTTCGTCAGAGACCAACTCTGAGGCTGATGCAACTCCCCGTATAAGTGAAGTGGTCAACACTCTTCCCTAACCACTTCATTCCCTATCTCTAAGCTAGAAGTCCGTTAATGTAGTGCAGTCCTGTAGCAGCGCCTTACATTTAACGGCAGCGAATCGCATGCCAAACATTCGAAGATTTCTACTCAAGGTATTCGGAATCTTCACCTAGGAGAACAATATCATCCACATGTTCTGAGTCAACGAGATTGTTCCCTGGTGATAACAAGCCCATCGCTGAAGTCAGTTAGTGTTAAGTCAATTAGTACATGTATGATGAAATTAAACAGAAATGGTTACAGTGGGCATCCCTGACGGACGTCACCTCAGATGACAACTCTCCGTAAGCTCTTACACAGTTGCATCAGTTCGAGTAGACTGCCTTGGTCAGTGAAATGTATTTTCTTGGCATTCCCTTCACTACCAAACATCGCCATAGTATCTCTCAGTCGATGGAGTTAAATGCCTCCTTGAGGTCAAGAAGTATCACAATTGCTGGACACCGGTAAGTATGCCTATGTTCCAGAATCTGTTGAAGGGTGAATATACCATCAATCAGTACAACCTCTTCCTGGTCTCAAGCTTACCTGGTTTTTCATTCATTAAGAAATGCAAATATAAAAATAAGGAGAACTTAGATTCCTTTGGAAGTTAGCATATGAGTTACAATCAGCAAACAATACTGATAGAAAATTCACAGATATATCGACCATCCCTATATACTACCAGTTGTGTAGCTTATATATGTAATCTTCATATTTTATGCAATTGTATCATTCAACAATAAGTATATGCCTCTTTTTGTAATATAAATTAGTAGAAATTGAGTGAATGTGCCCACTTCACATCAGCTGTTTATATTTTTCATTTCAAATACTATGACTCTTCATGTGACTGACTGGCTTCCTTGTTTTGTTTTTTGCATAATTGCACACAAAATTCTAAAAAGAAATTTTGGTTAAACACAAAGTCAATTGTATTTTCTCTTAATGTGAATTTAAAAGACCGTATTACATGAATTATAGCAAAACTAAAATTCATGTAACGACGGTAGTCAGGGTGAGGAGAGTAGCTGGACAGTTTTCTCTTGAACACACAGGTTTGGCTTCTTCCACAGGTGGATTCCTATTGCTTCAGCTGTATGTGCGTCGGTGGCACAGTGGTTAGGACTCTCGCCGACCATGGACATGGTCCGGGGTTCGATCCCCTGCCGACGCACACCGAATATCTATGGTGGGCCTGCAAAATTTGGGCTACCGATATCACATGCTGAAAATTCCATATCTGTACCAGAAAAATACGGTGTGGAATCAAACTGTAATCAAAAGAAAAAATGTAGGAGACAAACTCGTAAAACAAAATCAAGATTAGTCGGAAGGTGATAAATAACTTTGAATGCTGTATTAACATCAGCTTTATGCTCACTATCTACAAGGTGTGCTAAAACTCAGCTACGAATAGATCTTGTTTGTGCTTTGCTTAACCATGCTGGATGATGTTTGGAAATACGATGATAAACTTGCCTAACTGTACACCCATTGTAGATGGCTCCACAGGATAATCTGCTCAAACAACTCTCAATGAGGAGCTTAAGGTTATTATCTTAGAATTACTTAGTAAAAATGGTTATCCAGATAAGTTCATTAGGAAAAAATATGAATTTTAGCACCAAAGCAAGCCAGTAGGGCAACAGCTTCAAAAGCACAACCTTTGTCCGTAAAACTGCAGTTCCTCCTCAGTGATAACATCATCGAAATGGTAACGCACACAACACCTAAAGAATGCAGCAGAGGTACTCAGTCTCTTGACAAACACCCCGATTTTACATTCGACAAACAAGGACAAACTACCTAATTCCGCCTCGTCTATGTGTATCTACCAGTCTGATTTCTCGTGAGGAACTAGTTACATCAGACGTACAGTTAGGCAGGTTTATCATTATATTTTCGAAGTTAAAATTGCCCACTATTTCTTAATGGACGTAGCCCATTATTGGTAAGAATGAATCTTCAGTTATTACTATTTCGTTTTCTAAGTGTAAATGCTATTAATCAATTCTTTTCTTTATATTTTACAGAACTTTGGTTTCACAGAAGAAGAAATAAGATTAGAGAAATTTAAAGAGCTTAGTAATTTAGTTTCATGTACTCAAAAAGGCGAATTAGATCCTGGTAGAAAGTAAGTACCATTTTGTGTGTGTGTATTATCCTCCTTTAAAAAAATGTAAACTTGATCTAATGAATTTTGTTTTTCCAGTACTGGACAACCGTTTCTTCAGCCTAGTTTGGGATTCTTCATCAGTACGCACCCACCAGGGTTTTAACCCAGGACGTCCTGGTTACGAGGCAAGCTTGTAGACCACTGGGACCCCGACTCAATGGTCCATGAATATTCCAACTTCTGCAAGTTTGTGGTATATGTTTAGCCCAACCTCCAGCCATTCAATCGACGAAGCTGTGAAGCTAAATCGACTGAGATGGTTAGGACATGTGTTACGTATGCCTAGACTAGACATCGCCTTCCTCGACGGGCAATGTTAGCTGATATAGGGTCAGGTTGGAAAAGAGCCAGTGGTGATCAAACCAAAACATGACTTCATCAGTCAATGAAATCCACAACAGTTAGTCTAAGCCACGTAGGAGGATGTAGACTTCCTGGTTGGGGTCCTCGGGATGGTAAAGACCAATGGCTGGAAACAATTGGTGGTATGGCTCAAAATCGTTCTCAATGGAGCAGATGCATCTACTCCTTGTAACTTATAATTTCCAATAAAACTATATTGTTCTTCGATATTACTATTCCTTTTGTCTCATATCGCTGTCTACTGTCTTTATTTTGCATTTCTTTTTACCTTCTTCTCTTGCTTTATGTGTTACAAGGAGTGAGTGTGGTGACTCGAACTGCTGCACATCTGTGCAAAGTTCAATGTTGAAAACAGACAGACAATGTCACGGGCGAGTAACAGTCCTGTTGCCTGACTTGGTCGATCCCGCTCGTTACGACTTCTCACTGGAATCCCAGGTACTTCCTGTATATGGCCAGTCGCTAGTGAGCATCAGCTTAATTACCAAGTGTTGGTACTTGGTCAGTTCGTTCCTAGAGTTTCTTTTTACTTATTCTTCCCTAGCTGGTCAGCTATATCTGATCTTCAATATGGAGCCAGTGATGGGGGCAGTTGTTGGTAAAAGTCTACAGTTGCCTGTTGGAAATGCATTTCATTACTCTCTGGACAAGTTTCTGACCCTTATAGAACAAGTGACTGACTTAACATTCCTGCTGAAAATCCGAAATTTATTTCTTGTACTGACTGTATGCAGAAGATTTCCAAATTGATATCAGCATTGATCAGGGTCTGTTTTGCCTTTCCTATCTTGAATGGTATTGAGATTCTCGTCCGTGCCGACTGCCTGCAGTTGTAACGATAGCAGACATCCAACTTTGGCGTTTGAAACGACGGGTACCGGGTTTGAGTGAGTCTCTGTGGGAACACCATCGTTACTCACCGGGGAATGCAGATACATCCAGTAGTTGACCAGTCCCCAAATAGAGGATGAAATATGGCGCATGCTGGTGGATTCCACTGCTAGTCACCTCCTACCAAATTACTTCAAATGTTTACTGGGCTCAAACATTACTTAATGTAGTCTGAGCAACAGGTTTGTGTCATAATACTTCCTTCAGGAAATAGCAACTTATTCCATATTAATTTGCTTGATAGATATATATCACATAGTGAAACAGTATTATTATTATATACTGGATGGCAATGTTTCAAACACATTGTATGATTGTTCATAATTATATCAGTAGTTGTAACTACACAACTTCGGAACTTTCGTTTTATAGTTTTCTTTATTCCTTTCTATTGGTCTTTGGGGGGGGGGTAGTAGAATTTTCCAGATATCCGTGTAGACGGGTGTTGAATCATTTCTGTTGCACGTATTTCCAGTTGATTCGATACACCTTTCTGTGTCTTGCGTTCAGATTCTGGAGTCTATGTACATGTATAACATAGCTTTGGAATCAGGGTTTTTCAGTTCCTCTAGGTAAACCTGCATGCCCACTAGTAGTCCGGTTGTAAGCACCGGACTTCCGCATTCTCCCTTTCACAAGGTGAAGGCAGTGAATAAGGCCTAGCTGGTAGAAGCAATAAATGCGTGGCTACAAAAGAGAGGATTTCCAGAGGGAGACCGAAGTCTGTCCGCCCTCAGCTCTGCCTGGTCGTTTATGGCGGAAATTCACCAAATTAGGTAATTTTCCATTCAATTTTAGATTTTCCCATCGATTGATTGGACCCCAAAGTGCTCGGTCTCAGGTTGATAGTGTCGGCTTCTTGTGCAGATGCTTTGACGATATCTGGACATGTAGTCAGAAGCTAAATTGGTGGATGGTGACTAGCAGTGGAACCCACCAAGATGCACCATATTTCGTACTATATTTGGGACTCATCAGCTACTGGATGTACCTGTAGCACTTCGGTCCAATCAATCGACGGGAAAATCTAAAATTGAATTATATAATTAATATGACCCATTGGATAAGAGGCAGTGGCTCTCGTAGCCCAAGTGGTTTAGTGGATAACGCTTTGTCGTTTGAAACTATGGGCACTGGGTTTGAGCCTCGGTGGGAAGACTATCACTCACTGGGGAATGCAGGTACACCCAGCGGGCAGACGAGTCCCAAATAGGGCGAAATGTGGCATATGCTGAGTTCCACTGCTAATCACCATCCACCAGTTAACTTCAAATTAGGTAATATTGGAAGAAAATGAATTTGTGTATTATGCTCAGTGGTAACGTCTCTCACTGCAGCACTGGGTGACGCGGGTTCGAATCTCAGAAGGGACATGAGTTCGTTCAAGGTTGCAGATACGCCTTGCTAATGAGTGCCAACTAGCACAAAACCTAGGTCCAAACAGGGCTTCTTGTGGCCAATTACCCCCAACTATCTAATAGCTAATATATTGTTTTAAATTATTATAAATCACTATTCTCTGTACTCATAAAATGGATTATTACTATTTGTAAAGGTTACTTTTAACATATTTGTTTTTTATTCACTCATTTTTGTGTAGATGGTTAAAAGATAATCATGAAAAACTAGGTGATCAAGCAAGGCAGTTAGAATATTGTCTAGCCAAGCTAGATTTCTTGTCAACAATACAAAGGGAGCCTGTCGATCCAGCTGCTGTAATTCAAAGCGCCCGCCAGCTGGTACCATATGCTGCTGATTATTCATCGGGTAAGCAAATAGTGTTTTTGAGAAGATACTGATTTATCGACATAGAATTTTGAAAAAGAGAAACGGCTGAGCTTATAAATTTGAGTTAGGACTCGTCACCTTTTAACTCTACAAACATGATCGTGTTCACTGTTAGGCAGTGGGGATATATATGTATATATATGGTGTGCCCCAAATCTTTATCAAACTTACTATCTAACAGCACGTGTCAGGCGATCCACAACGGAAATCTTGGCGTAGCCTTCGAAGTGAAGACAGGAGTAAGATAAGGCTGCCCATTATCACTGGTGGTTTCTTTATGGCTGTGAGCGAAACCTGGCCATTGAGAGTGGAAGACATGAAAAGGCTAGCTACCAGTCTTTGATCGTAGGTGCCTGCGTTCTATCTCCCTTGTGAAGTAGTATAATAAGGTGAGCAATATTGAGGTTAGGCATCGGTCGCGTACTAGGTAAGAAGTGGAAATCAATCGACAAGTCTGTGAAGTTATATCGATTGAGATGGTTAGGAAATGTGTTACGTGTGCGTAGCCTAGTCATCGCCTTCCTCGACGGGCAATGTTAGCTAACATAGAGTCAGGCTGGAAAAGGGTTAGCGGCGGTAGAACCAAAAGATGGCTTCATCAGTCCGTGAAATCCACAACAGTTAGTTTAAGCCAGCCACGTAGAGAGGTGTAGACATCCTGACTGGTGTGGGCCCTCGGGACGGTAAAAACCAATGGATGGAGATAATTGGTGATATGGCTCAAAATCGTTGTCAAGGATGGCACAGATGCATCCACTCCTTGTGACTTATAATACCCAATGAAACTATAATGTTCTTCGATATTACTATTCCTTTGTCTCACACCTCTGTTTACTGTCTCTATTTTGCATTTCTTCTACTTTCTTCTATTGCTTTGTGTGCTACAAGGAGGGAGTGTGGCAACTTGAACTGTTGCACATCGGTGCAAAGTTCTATGTCGAAAACAGACAGACATTATCACTGATAATATTGGTAACCACTGTATGCTGGAGTGTACGTCAGACTGTGGGGAACGAACGGACTGTAGAAGATCTGGATTTCGTAGATGATTTATGTCTAATGTTATGCAAACTCGAAATTTTACTAGCGGAAAACCAACAAACTGTTAGAAGAGGCAGGCAGTGTTGACAGGACTTCAACTGAAGATAGAGAAGACAGAGTTGATGGAGATAAACAACAACAGCCACCAGTCACTGTCAACAGAATAAATCTGAAAGAGGTGACTTCTTTCACTTATCCGGGTAGAATCATTTCAATTACTGGTAGTCGGCATGGATGAGGATGTCGACATAAATGAAGATGGGAAAGGTAAGACAGACACCTTTTATCACTCTGAAATCAGTTTGGATATCTTCTGCACACAGTCAGCATAAACAGCAAAATTCGAATTTTCAACACTCATGTTAATTAAGTCAGTTCTTGGATGTGAGTCAGAAATTTGCACTGCACGTCACGACAGGTATTTCTAATACCCCACTGAAGACTTTTATCAACAGTTGGCACCGTCACTGGCTGCATATTGAAGATATGATGGCCAGTGGGAATGAATTAGCTCCAAAAGACTCTGTGAATGAACCTACCAAGACCCTATTGCTCAATGAGTAGGCCGACGAAAATGGAGATGGACTGGACGCACACCACTGAGGAGGTCGTCGAGTGACATCATGCGCCACGCCCCCTCTGGAGTATAACTCGAATGGGAAACGATGAAGTTGGGCGTTGGTTCGAGGTCAGCATGGAGGAGATCATGTGGTGAGGAGGAGATGAGAGTCTATGGGCAATCGACGGGCCATCTCAAGAGAACTGTAGAGAATAGAACGTCGTGAAGGTGTTCTTTTGTATCTCTATGCTCCACACGATGCAAACGAAGACATCTAATACTTAATGACAACACAGTGTGAATAAATATATTCACAGTACACCGCAAATCCTACTATGGTAAATTGAAAGTGGCTGTCATCTCCTTCTATATACAATAAGCTCAGTTTACGATTTCAAGTCACACAAGGTACCACAGTCACAAACATTTTTATGTTGTTTTTTTTGTTGGGTGATAACCATGAAAGTCTTGTTGGCGTCAACTCTCTCTCTGTCCATAAACCATAGCAGAACTCACTCCAAAGTGTTTCCACCTCAGTCGCCTATTTTGTTTGTCTGACCAAAAGTTACATTTTTTAAAGGGCTTTTGGAAGACACTACGAGAACATCAAACTGATTCCATCTTCACCACATGATACACACAGCAACTATCTTATTTCGAAAATGACTTTCTTTATCCTTGCACATAGACCTTGCAGATAAGTGATAACAAGTACGAAACTGAATTCATTAGGACATTCCTTAAACATACTAAGTGTTGAAATAATATGTGACAAGACACTTGACTGCCCTGTTATAAGCTACAGCATGCGTGACTATTGTAGCTAACACCATTAAAATCCATAATCAACACTTACCATATCAGGTACTCTAGAGACTTTTGCGTCAGGTGGTGATACCTGGAAATGAGGAAACAATGTTGCTAAGTGGAATATTTTTTTTTTTTTGATATATATTTAAGATATTATTAGGTAAGACGCAGAATTCCCGTTCATCATAGTTCTGAATCTGTGACAGTATATCCAGCTTGATTATTATTGATTATCTTTGCAACGACCGCATTTTGTGTTTATTAGATTTGGTTTACGAGCATTCTGATGGCGTTCTTTAAAACTGGGAGACAAAGGAAGAAATTCTTCTGTCTGTCTAACCCTTCTCCTTATTTTCCTGCATTTGGTACGGCTAATTTGCCTTGTGTTTTATAGTGTCAACATTCAGCTTTACAATTCTGAACTTCTGCTAATTCGCTGTCAGTCATCACATTTTGATTGCGAGTAATCAACTGTGAAGTTAACTTTTTAACCATTTCATTTATAGCATTTTGTATAAACATGAAATTGGAAACCTTTCATACACTGTTCAAGCCATGTTACGCTTGAAACTTTCCTCAGCTGATAAAAGTGGTGCGATGTTGTTCAACAACTTGATAACGTGTTTGTTATTTCCTTTAATTCCTTGAGGAACATAGGGCTTCAGCCGTGCGTCTCCATTGCGTTCGGTTCTCTGCTAGAGTTTTCACCTGGCTCCAAGTCTATCCACACGTTTTCATCTCCTCTTCACATGACCTCCTCCAAGTCACCCTTGCACTGACGACCAACTCACCGCTTCCCTTTCGGGTTCCACTCGAGGGCTTGTCTAGTGATGTCACTTGATGGTTTCCTCAGAGTATGGCCAATCCATCTCCATTTCTTCCTACCTATTTGTTGCACAATCGGTTCCTGCTGTGTTGGTTCGATCCCAGAGATCTCTATTGCTGATCTTTTCTGGCCATCTGATCTTGAGTATTGAGCGAAGACAAATGTTAATGAAGGTCTGTAGTTTGTCTGAGGTGCTCTTCATGACGCGGTGCCAAGTCTCTGATCCGTATAGTAGCACTGACTGACTTCACATTGGAGTTGAAAATCCGGATGTTATTTTTGGTGGTCAGTGCTGTTGACCTCCACACAGACTTGAGAGTAGTGTTTATGCAGTCAATATTTCCTCTCGGTTATTCATCGATTTTAGGTATGTTTATTGTACAGCGTGTGTCAGCTGTTCCATGACGGAAAACAGCGAAGCCTTTCATCAAGTGAATACAAGGGGAGAAAGACAAGGCTGCCAGTCGATTATCACCGATGATATTCCTAATTATGGTGAACTGGATTAACTGTGCATCAGACTGTGCATTGGAGAGTGAGAAGACAGGAATGAATGAATACGCCGGACCGACAAGAAGAGTCTGGAAGATCTGGATTTCTCTATGCGGATGATCTATGTCTAATGTCACACAAACTCTAAGACTTGCAGAAGAAAGCCAACAAAAACAACAAAACATAATTATTCTGAGCTCTGAAAATATGGAACACTTATATGAATAAATGGACAATGTTAATTGTATACTACTTAATTAACCCGGAATTCAAAGTTAACAAAGATGCTAAAAGTCCAAAATCCGCCTTTACAAAATTCCAAATAATACTTAGCTCAGTATGTTTACCAAGCATTCCCTGAGTTTCATTGTAATCACCTTGGGAAACATGGCTTATGATATATCCTCTAGGTTCTTCAAAATGTTGCTAATTTAAACAGCATCTTGAGTCATTTGACATCGGTTGTTTGTTCAAATATCTTTGGGTTGAGGAAGTTACTGAATTTGTGTGTAAAATAGGTTGAGCATATCTCTCCAAGAAGAGAGGTGTGAACTGCTCCTTTTATTATTATTATTATTATTATTATTAATTCCTTCACGTTCCCAGTGTGGAACATATGGCTCCAAGCTAGAGGCTTGAAGTTTCTGTAGCAGTGGTGTTTATTTTTACAGGATGGGGTTGCTGCTAGCCTCATGCACAACCTTCCTTCCTTACCAGTTGTAAGCGCAATATCGCTTGAAATTAAGTCACGCGTAGATAAAGGCTATCCCGGTCCAGAACAAACAAGAAGCCGGTCACTGTTTCTACGGTACTATTAATAAACAAATCAATTAATATATATACAACAAACCTTAACGGTTTCAAGAGTACAATACACAATGCTTAACAGAAAGCAAGGAACCGCTATCAGAGCGGAATAACGTTAAAGCCAAAATTACGAACTAGCCGGATCAGACACGACCGTTCAGGTAAGCAGTCAGTAGAAGAATGAACCCAAGTAAGAGATAGACAAAGCATAGGCACAAAGATAGAATTTAATTGGCTACTTAACCAATCAATAAATAAGATAAACTCAACAGCATAATACAAAGTAAGACATGGGGCAGCAAAATAACAGTTCACAAAAATACTCTGATTGGGTCATGAGTTCAAGTGTCTGACTAAAAGGATCGAAGTAAAAACACACATACACAGTTAATTAAACAAGGTGGGATAGACACGTTGGGCATGGATAATTGTGTTGCAACAATGCTAGGCTGATCCGGGACAGGTTGACTTGATTTAAGGATAGGAATTGAATTGATCTTACACCGGCCCCCAAAATCCGACTAGGATTTTATGAATCATGTTACACAGAATAACCCTCGTGCCCGGCTCTCTTACAAATGACTTCCCTCTAGTAGGCATATCTTACGTATATCGCGCTTCACCTCGCCATTTCTCGTTTTTATCGTAACGGTTCTGACAAGTCCGTCCGCGGATTGCTCGCATCCCACAATAACTCCTAGCGGCCAACGGTCTCTCGTCGAAGATTCTGGCGCAATCATCACCGCATCCCCTGGGGATATATTTTTAGACTTTTTGATCCATTTCTGTCTAGTTTGAAGTAAGGGTACACATTTTCGCTTCCATCTATGCCAAAACGACGCTGCTAGATGCATAGCCTGCCTCCATCCAGAGTTGTATACTTGGACAGTATCTGATGGAGTCTCCATACTTATGCTTCGACAGACCAATAGTAGGTGATTTGGCGTGAGAGTTAGATGATCTCTACTATCCGACGTTGGTGGTACAAGCGGTCGATCATTCAATATAAGTTCTACTTCTGCCTTACCACATAGTATATGTAACTGTTGGGTGCAGTTTTCAGAATCGAAATTGGGTCCAATACATCTAAGGATTCTCAAAGCCGCTATTCTCTCCACGGCGCCTATCCAATTCTGCCAGACTTCGTCGTTTTGTGTGGACAGTGACTGAACCCATCCCATATTTTGTTTGCAGAATGACTGTAACATCAGCTTTGCCGGAAAGAACAGTGGCGACAGTATCCCAAATGGATCAAAGACAGAAGATACTACTGATAGAATGCCACGTCTTGTAACAGGTTCTCGCGAGATTTTGAAGGGGAAAACAAAGCAATCTATCTCAGAGTTCCATTCTGAACCCAACGTACGTTTCACCTTCACTGTATCTCCATTGATGAGTCGAGACGTCGGGGAAGGCTCCTTTAGCGTAACCGATTTTAGTACTTCTGCCTGGTTAGCAACCCATTTAAGCCGTCGGAAACCTGCATGACTTAGCAGATCACTTACATCAGTGATAAACCTACTGGCGGTCTCAACATCCTCAAAGCATGCCAAGCAGTCGTCGACATAAAAGTTGTTCCGTACTATATCTCTTACTGTTTCCCGATATAAGCAACCAAAGTCCTCTACTGCCTTTCTCAACGCGAAGTTCGCACAGAAGGGTGATGAAGTTGCCCCGAACGGATGCGCTGTCATCTGAAACTCCTGCGGCTCTTCGTCTAGAAAACCATTTTTCCACCACAGAAATAGTAACGCTCGTCGATCGTCTACTGGCACCTTCACTTGCATAAACATATCAGCTATGTCCGCGACTACAGCAATAGGTTTTTCTCGAAAGCGCAACAGAACACCAACAAGCTCGGTAATCGTATCATGCCCTTCATATAGCTTATCGTTCAAAGAATAGCCTCTAAAGGTTGCGGCGCAATCTAGAACTATTCTCAGTTTATCTGGCTTTTTCGGTTTCTTTACGGGATGATGTGGAAGATACCACTTCGGGCGATAGTTGGCTGCTAGCTGCTCTATGGGTACCGGAAGGGCATAACCATTTTCTAACATCGTATTTATACCATCCACATATCGTGCTAAAAGGTTCTTGTCACGCGATAACCTCCATTTCAGACTGAGTAACCGATTTATGGCAACTACATAAATATTGTCCATTACCTTTGCTGGATCTTTCCATGGCAAGGGAATGATGTAATGCCCCTTTTCTAAGACAGTGCTTTGAGTAACCAACTCGACTGCATTACGATCTTCGATAGAAAATGACTGTTCGTTTTCTTCAGTATCCCTGAACTCAGCTTCATATGGCCTTCTGATGTCATCTTTGATACTATCTTCGCTGATTCGAGCGTAGTTGACAGTGCCTCTTTTAGTATTTCCAATGTTCCGTTTGTCGTCCACGGCTAACTTCACATGCAGCTCGGCCATTTCGACATCATGTCTAGCCTTTAGCAACTTTTTCTCTAACTCCTCTCGAAGCTGTTTCTCCTTTAGCTGCGCCCTTAGTAGCGACGACTTAGCACTAGTTACTCGCGATAATGATGGTTTCGACCTACTGACATGAGAGCCGGGGCACGAAAGGTTATCAACATGATCATTTATGCAAACGGGGACTTGCCGACTCTCCGACTGCTGCTCCAAAATTTGCTTCCCCGATCTGGTTTGCATTGTTCCAAAGAAAAAATGTATTCTCAACAACGTTGCGTGCTGCCAATTAACCAAAAGTTTCTTCTGGATGAATGTTGAGTACTGACCAGTTCAGTACGGGATTTTCTGTTTGACGTTGAGTACTGAACAGTTCAGTACGGATTTTCTGTCAAGGCGATAGGTACTGACCAGTTCAGTACGGTCTCTTCCGTCAACGGCTGATCCGGCAAACTTTAACTCTAGACGTTAAGTACTGACCAGTTCAGTACGGTCTTTTCCTGCTTTGAACGTTAAGTACTGACCAGTTCAGTACGGTCTATTCCGTCAAGGCGTTCAGTACTGACCAGTTCAGTACGGTCTTTTCTGTCAAGGGCTGATCCGGCAGACTTTAACTCTATACGTTAAGTACTGACCAGTTCAGTACGGTCTATTCCGTCAAGGCGTTCAGTACTGACCAGTTCAGTACGGTCTTTTCTGTCAAGGGCTGATCCGGCAAACTTTAACTCTATACGTTAAGTACTGTAAGCGCAATATCGCTTGAAATTAAGTCACGCGTAGATAAAGGCTATCCCGGTCCAGAACAAACAAGAAGCCGGTCACTGTTTCTACGGTACTATTAATAAACAAATCAATTAATATATATACAACAAACCTTAACGGTTTCAAGAGTACAATACACAATGCTTAACAGAAAGCAAGGAACCGCTATCAGAGCGGAATAACGTTAAAGCCAAAATTACGAACTAGCCGGATCAGACACGATCGTTCAGGTAAGCAGTCAGTAGAAGAATGAACCCAAGTAAGAGATAGACAAAGCATAGGCACAAAGATAGAATTTAATTGGCTACTTAACCAATCAATAAATAAGATAAACTCAACAGCATAATACAAAGTAAGACATGGGGCAGCAAAATAACAGTTCACAAAAATACTCTGATTGGGTCATGAGTTCAAGTGTCTGACTAAAAGGATCGAAGTAAAAACACACATACACAGTTAATTAAACAAGGTGGGATAGACACGTTGGGCATGGATAATTGTGTTGCAACAATGCTAGGCTGATCCGGGACAGGTTGACTTGATTTAAGGATAGGAATTGAATTGATCTTACACCAGTCTTATTATTGGTTCGGTACGGTAAAGAAATGCATCGGCTGGGGATCGAACCCCGGACCATGTGCATGGTTGGCGAGCCTCCTAACCGCTATGCCACCGACGCACCAACTGTTCCTTTTTAGGTATTCAAAATTTTCAGTCTCAATTTTTGATGAGGTGAAAATCACCACAGAGCTACAGTTGTGGAATACTTAATAGATTATGGACACGATATTGACTCCATGGGTTTATGAATCAGTGGCCTAGACATGTGAACGTCTGTTCTCTATTCCGCGTATACTGGAGTTTGGAGAACCAGGTGGTATCATTTGTCTTCACAGTGTGTTGTCTATTATATGAATCTGTATAGGGTTTTTTTGAATAGTTACGCTGTATATTGTGCTTGATTGCACGAGTGAACAGTTGAGTTTATGTGCATAACGAACTTTGTGAACTATATAATCTGTCATAGGTGATTATATAAAATGGAGTCTAATTTTTATATTACATTTCTACAGTTATGTTCTGTTTCTCGTTTATTTTTTATTTCAATACTCTTACAGATTTTGAACATCTTATGGGAAGTCTAGTTTTCATTGGACGTAGTTTAGAAGATACACCATATGCTGATTTAGCATTACCAACCAGTTTGTCTAGTGTATCGTCTTCTGAAGGCGGCTGTCAACAGAAATCTGAAGATGTTCATATGACTGATGAAGGATGTTCCTTGTCATCAGCATCAACGTCAACAGCAGCATCAATATCAACAGCATCTGGAACTAGTAAACCTAAAACAACAGATAGTTGTAGTGCTTTAAATGAAGCAGCAAATTTATTCAGAGCACGTTGTTGTCATCAATTAAATCTATCTGATATTGATCCATTACTCACTGCATTTTCATCTGGATGTCGTGTACTTACACGTCTGCATTCACTGCAACGTGCTATCGCCTGTCTTAGTAAATATAGTTCACTAGATGGTGATATGTTACCGGTGAGTCCCTTTTTATTTTGTCAATTGAAATCATAATAATAATATTAATAATAAAACAGGATTTAATGAATTTATCGAATTTCGGTAGAACTACTCTTCCTGGACCGACGTGAAGAATCTAGAAGACCTGGATTTCGCGGATGATTCATGTTTGATGTCACAGAAAATCGAAGACTTACAAGCGAAAACCGACAAACTGGTGGAAGAAGCAGCCAGAGCAGACAGGACTCCAGGTGAACATAGACAAGACGGAGGTTATGAAAATAACCAACCAACAACAACAACAGCAACATCCAGTGCCAATCACCATCAACGGGAGGGATTTGAAAGAGGTTACTTCATTCACTTATCTTGGGAGCATTGTCTCAACCACTGGAGGAACGGACGGGGATGTCAAATCGAGAATCGGTAAGGCGAGAAACACATTCATCAACCTGAAACCAATCTGGAAATCTTCGTCACTCAACTCAGCATCAACAACAAAATTCGGATTTTCAATACAAACGTCAAGTCAGTCACTTCTTCTATACGGATCAGAAACTTGGCCAGTGTGTCACAAAGAATATTTCCAACAGCCTGTTGCAGACCTTTATCAACAGCTGTCTTCGTTGGCTCTATACTGAAGATCAGATGGCCGGAAAGAATCACCAACAAGAAACTATGGGAACAAACAAAACAAGAATCAATCACCGAACAAATATGCAAGAGAAAGTGGAGATGGATTGGACACTCGCTGAGGAGACCACTGGGTGAAATCGAGCGTCAGGCCCTCGCTCCAGTGGAACCCTAAAGGGAAGTGGAGAGTGTGACGTCCTAGGGTGACATGGAGGAGATCGTGTTAAGAAGAGTTGAAACAGCATGGACTAACATGGATGCAGGTGAAAAGTACAGCAGAAGACAGAAGCAAGTGGAGGCGTGCAGTTGAAGCTCTATGTTCCAATAGGAACCCCAGGGAACAATAATAATAATACTCTTCCTCAGCTGGATGATACTCCTCACATACAGGGATATAAAATTAAGATAAACTGCATTATGGTTCAGTTGTAACGACAGAAGATAGGGACCAGGCAACAGATCGTTTATCGACAAAATCAACAGATATTTATAGATTTTTATGTGCATTATTATTCGTAATTGTTAGCAAAGAAGCAGCGTCTTCTGATAGGTTGTTTTCCTGCTGAAAGTTATTCTGTCATCTCTTTGTCGCCGTTTCTTGGACAGTCCGTTGATATGTCTGCTGTGATTGGTTGTTGAGTTAGTCTTCGTTTTTGTTTTCTCATGATCAAGACATGGGACGTAAACATTGACGTAAATTGCTGCCTACCAATTTTGGCTAGCAGCCAGCTCTCACCACACAATTACATCACTTAAATAGGCAATTAGTTATTAGTGAGTGAAATCACTTGAATATATCAAGAAACTGCGGACTAAGTAATCGTGATAATAATAGTAATGCTAAAGATAGTTTTGAATGAATCGAGTCGGACGTGAGGACAAATACTCGCCGCCGTTGATATTGGCTAGTAGTTACGCTGTGTCGTGAATTGGAAGAAGTTGGAATTCATGGGCTGGCTATTAGTTCGGGTCCCAGTGGCTTAATGGTCTATGAGCTTGCTTTCCTTGTAACTAGAAGATCCTGGATTCGAACCCTGGTAGATATGTACTGATAAAGACTCCCAAACTAGAGCGGAGGAAACAGCTGGCTGTCCAGTACTTCCAGATGGTTTTCCAATGGTTCTCTAACCGATGTCAGCTCATGATGAAATCCTGTAACCATAAATAGCAGTAATTAGAATAAAATAATAATAATGATACCAGTTAAAAGGTAGAACGTTTTACCATGGTTGCATTCAGAGTGACTACCATTTCCTTTTGAGAGTTGAAGACACGAAAAGGCTAGTTGTCTTTGATCTTAGGCGCCTGCGTTCTATCTACCGTGTGAAGTGGTAGGCATCGGTCGAGTGCTAGGTAGGTGGGAGGGGAAATCAATCGACAAGGCTGTGAAGTTACATCAACAGAGATGGTTAGGATATGTGTTACGTATGCCTAGTCATCGCCTTCCTCGACAATGGGCAATGTTAGCTGACATAGGGTCAGGCTGGAAAAGAACTAGTGGTGGTCAAACCAAAAAGTAGTATCAGTCAATGAAATCCACAGCAGTTAGTTTAAGCCAGCCAGCCACGTGGAGAGGTGTGGCCAGGCCATCACTTGAGTGTAACCCGAGTGGGAAACGACAATTTAAGAGTGGGCCGTGAGGGTGACATAGAAGAGATCGTATGACGAGGAGGTAAAAGACTACGGGCAATAGTGTGATCAGATGAAGAGGGCTGCAGGGAACGGGACGAAGTTGAGATGTGGTATTGAAGGTCTATATTCCATTCAGAACCTAAGAGAATAGTAACAATAATATAAAGACACTAACACCAAGCTAGGTTTACATATCATTGCTTCATTTTCATATCATAGTGCACATGGATATAGTATTGCTTTGTAATCAGAGGTATCCCTTTACTTGTCTTTGTGTGTATGTGTATAGCTTCAATCTATTAGTTTGTGTAATAAATTTGCATGATGTTGTTACAAAATATTACTTCAATCGAAAAATTTATGCGTCCTTTTTTCGTTGTAGATTTCAGTGAAACTGGATCCAAGCGCTCATCGTCATAATATTTTCCATTGTCCAGTTATTAAAGAAGTGATATCTGCTTCAAATGATGGTAATGGCACTAGTGGTGGTCCTGTACGCCTAACATGTGGACATGCTATATCCAGGGATGCATTCAATTCTTTAGCCAGTGGTGATAGAAGGTGAGGCATCCTTTGTGCATTCATCGTTAAAGTTTTTATTTGAAGCTTTTGTATGCTGTGGTGTGCAGGCACTATGTGATTGTCAGTTTGTTTCGCTGATCCTATTCTGATCTTGTTTGTCGTTTTGAGATTTGTAAGTCTGAGAGCATTGTTTCTTGTCATGATAAGAAGTGTAACTGTGACATCCCAATGATGAAAGAGTTTTCATGTAATTGAAGAATTATACTAATTTTACTATCATGTATTTTCAATTGTAACCGGTCTTGTTATGTCTCTCTCTATCTCAACTTCATTGAATTTGAAAAGGCCTCCGATAGCGCAGCGTCGGTCGTGAGGTGATTTGGCGACTACTTTGCTACTACCAAGGGATGCCGCCAACAATTATACATCTCATGCTGCATGCCAAGTAATTCACAACAGGAAACTCACGGAATCCTTCGAGGTGAGAACGGCAGTAAGATAAGGCTGGTTGACTGCCTACTATCTCCAATGATTTTCCTGATTGCGGTAGACTGGATAATGTGATAGACAGTGGGCGACGAGGAGACAGGCACAAAATGAACTCATACAAATAACTTGGAGGATATGAACTTCACCGATGATATATGCCTGATCTCCCACAAACTGGAAGATATGAAAGTGAAAAGTAACAAGTTGGCAGAAGAAGCATCCAGAGAAGATAGGCTTTCAGGTGAACATAGAGGAAACGTATGTGGTGATGAAGATTCCTATCCAACAGCAACAGCGACAACAGACAACAATCAACATAAATGGGAGAAATATGAAAGAAGCAACCTACTTTACCTACCTACCTACCTGGGAAACATCGTTTCAACTACAGGTGGACGGAACTGATGAGGATATCAAAACGGCGACGATCGGGAAAGCAAAGCAAGCTTTCATTTCTTTCAAGTCTGTATGGAGATCGACAGCACTCAGCATTTCAACTCCAACGTGAAGTCAGTGATGTTACACGGATCAGAGACTTGGCGCGGCGTCACGAAGGGCACTTCGAACAAACTACACACCTTCGTCAACAGCTGTCTTCGCTCAATACTTCGCTCAAGATCAGATGGCCGGCCAGAAAACATCAGAAACAGGGAGGGATCTCTATCAATGAGCTAACCAACCTAGCAGGAACCGATTGTGGAACAAATATGCATGCAGGAAGATATGTAGGTGGATTGGCCATACTCTTAGAAAACAAACCATCAAGTGAGTAACATCATACGCCAGGCCATCGCTCGAGTGGAAGCCGAATGGGAAGCGGTGACTTGTTCGTCAGTGCAAGGGTGACATGGAGGAGGAGGTGATGTGAAGAGGAAATGAAAGCATGTGAACAGACGTGGAGCAAGGTGAAAACGTTGGCAGAGAACCGAACTCAATGGAGATGCACGGCTGAAGCACTATGTTCCTCTAGGAACTTAAGGAAACAATAATTATTATTACGTCTAGTGCTTATGCTCCATCGAATTCTGTCAATGGAGATAGTATTTTCCTTCTAATAGTGACCGATCGAAGTGTTTATTCGTGTATTTGTTGATCATAGTCCATTGAGTCAGGTGGCAGTGGCTGAATAGTGGTGTCTACAAGCTTGTCTTTTAACTCGAAGGTCCTGGGTTCGAACCCCCCTCCCGTGGTGGGTGGTGCGTACTGCCGATGATTACCAAACTAAGAGGACGAAACAACTGCCCTGTACTTACTGTTAGTTTTCAGTAGTGGTTCTCTAACTGATATCAATCAATCTGTCGTCAAACTTGTAAAATAAATTCAATCTCTACAAACTGACTCTTCAAAATTTATATTAGTTAAGCCTGTATGCTAATTGGTTACTTTTAGCTGAGTTACGCTTCACTACTATGCATTTTAGTTCAATTTTGTTTTCTGTCGGAAAGCCCCACCCGACAAACATTTCGCCTTCATTGAGGTACTCACCAACCAATTAAGGGTATATCTATAACTTCTGAAACTTCAATTCCGCTACAATGTTCAACCAAGCGTGACTCAATCTTAGTGGGTATACACTAAGAGGAACATACGTTTCCTCTAGTTTGTATATGTGTAACGACAGAAGACAAGGGAAGGCAACAGATCGTTTATTGAGAAAATCAATAGGTATCTATAGATTTTATGTACATCATTATTCGTTATTATTAGCAGAGAAACAGCGACTTCTGATTGGTTGTCTTCTACTACTACTTGTCACCGTTTCTCAGAAAGTTAAGCCATATATCTGCGAATCGTATTGGCACAGGTTAAGTCTACTGTGATTGGTTGTTGAGTTCCTCAAGGTTAAGCTTTGTTATTGATTTTTATCTCATGACCTCGATTCGGGACGTAAACATTGATGAAAATTGCTGCGTACAATTTCGGCTTCTTCGCAACCAGCTCTCACCCCATATGTACTCAGCTGTGATGAATGCCGTCGAGTAAGAAATCGAATGCTTATCAAGTGTTGGTTTGGAAGGATTTGATTAGTCACAGGTGTCTGATCACAAGTTGATATTTGTTTGAGAACGATTGGAAAACCTGAGGGTACTGGACAACTGTTTCGTCCTAGTTTGGGACTCTTCATCAGCGCGAGCTCGTCTTGTAACCGGTAGCTCCTGGGTTCGAACTCCATGTGGTAGGTGAGTACTGATGAAGAAGCAGGTTATAGTCGAAGCTCTTTTTCCACTTTTTAACACGAATATTTTATTTCTTGAAGTTATTTTACTATTGTTGTTGTTTTATGTTTCTTTTTCTGCTGATTTTAGTCGAATGAAATGTCCTTATTGTCCTGTGGAGACATTTAAAAATCAGGTATTGGATTTGATATTTTGATGAGGCTAATTATTCACATATGGACATGCATATTACTATTAATTCATGTACGTAAAAAAGAGATGCATTCAAGGCAGGCAGCTAGAAGTTCACATCCCCCCTACTCTAGTGGAGTACATTATTTTACAATCAATAATTGTTTTGTGATATTATCAGTAATGGAATGAATGACATTTTAATTTGCCGCCCCCCCCATAAATAGTATTATTATTCTACCGCAGATTGTCTTCCTATCCTTCAATTATTTACGATTAGACTTTCATTTAGACAACTCTTGTGGTCGGGGTGGTGGTGTTATCGGTGGTTGTACAGTCAATCTCAATCGATATACGCTTAATTTTGTTTTGACTGTGTTACTGAACAATTTGGCGTGTTGCTTTTTTTTATTCCATGTAAACAAAAGTCTTTTCGCATATATATTATAATCTAGCTTGTGTTTTCTGTCATTTCTAATATTTCTTTTCATTGCAATCAAATTTAACTTATTCCCTCCCTCTCTCTCCGTTGACCCTACCTCTTATTATTTTTTCCCCATTTGTCATCGAGTCTTATTCATTCATACTATACTCTGATGCTACAAATTCTGTTATAGTACAAAGTTGTGTGTTTCCTTCCCCTTTTTATCATATACATATGCATATATTTATACTATCATTCATTTATGTCGATTGATTAATTCAATTGAGTTCTTTCATCTGGAAGAAAGAGTGTGTGCTGCACACTGCACATAAATAAATAGCAAGTTTGCTATTACCCTGTGAAAATAATACATTCAGGACAATAAGCTGTGTTCTAATTGGTTGGCAATTGGTTCAAGGTTAAACAAGGTTGTCCAATGAGATTGTTTCATGTCCACAACGTAAACCAAATTTAGATTTGAGGAATAATCAGCACTTCTACCTCTGTTGCAGCGATTGATTTAAAATGTTGATTTCAGTTGTGTGTTTTTTGGCCACTTCCTATCGATCTGCATCACGCCACACTCGTTCATCTTCATATAGTTTCCAGAGGAGCTGCGTCAACCTTCTTGGTGTTATTTAATCTTGTTGCGTCTTGTTATCAGCTTGCTTATCTCACTGTATCCGTCTCTCTGGAGTTGTCTGGCGTTAACACGTTTCTGTTTATCCCCTCCTCTGATGGTATAAATAGGACCACTTCTATCGGTGACAGTTTATGACCTATCCTTCATGCTCCACGCTGTCGTACAATGCCTTCATCCGACCTCTTAGCAGCGTCCTCTGGACATTTGTCTTCGCCGTTGGATGCTTCACACTCGCCAATTCAGTGATTGCATCGAAGTCCCGTATAAAGCTCCGTACATCTCCCTCTTCGAAAGGAGCAGTCCGGGGGATCTTCATTGTCCAAAGGCAGCGACACCAAATGTAACGGGGAACACAAGACACTTGGTCACGGAGCTTTATTCAGGAAAAACACTTCATATTTAGACATCCTTAGCTCGATTAAGGTTGGCTCGGTTAGAGAGGAATAAATTGTTCTGATTGGTTGGCAGTCGATTCAAGGTTAGCCAAATTGTCCAATCAGGTCATTTCATGCCCACAACGTGAACTAAATTCGGATTTGAGGAATAGACATATCTACCACTGTAGCAACTTTTTTAGCCGCTTTCCTATCAACCTGTATCACACCAAAATACTACTGCTACTACTCATAAACTTGTTGCTGAAAGACAGAGATTGTTACTTAAGGATCAGTTGGATTCATTCTTTAAGACCTTAGATCCAGAGCATTACTGTCGACCTGTTAACATTATTACACCTCATATCTACATATATTAAGTGAAAAGTAGGAAAAACAGAAATGATATATTTGGAAGTTGTAAAGTATTACTAGGAAAAGAAATATACAAAGAAATGCTTACTTCAATGTAACAAAAGTAACCTACGAAGAATATATCTGTGTCAGTACAATCTATTGTAAGCAATATTTGTTTCAGGTTAGACCACGGATTGATTGATGTCAGTTAGACAATCACTTAAAGACAACAGGGAGTACTGAACAGCTATTTCGTCAGCCCAGTTTCGGACTATTCAGTAGTACGCACCCACCACAATGTCACGAATCCAGGACCTTCTGGTTACAAGGCAGGCTCGTAGATCATTCTGCCATTTGGACACGATTCAATGGCCCACGAATTCTAACCTCTACCAATTCGTGATACTAGCGCAACTACCAACCACGAATTGGTAGACTAACTGGCTGACTGGTTTCAACGCAGAACTTTGCACAGATGTGTAGCAGTTCGAGTTGGCCACACTCCATGTAGTACACAAAGCAAGAGAAGAGAGTACAGAGAGATAATAAACAGAAGTGTTAGGGAAAACGAGTAGTGATTTGGAAGAACAATATATTTTTATTGGATATGATGAACTAGAAAGAGTGAATGCATCTGAGCTAACCATTGAGAACGATTTTGAGTCATATCACCGATTGTCTCCAGCCATCGGATTTTACTATCTCGGGGCCCCCAACCATGAAGTTTACACCTCTCAACTTGACTTCAACTTACTGTTGACTGCCCCCATGTTTCTGTTTGACCACCACTAGCTCTCTTCAAACCTGATTAATCCTATATCAGCTATAAGATTTTCCGTCGAAGAAGGATTAGGCAGAAGTTAGCATTCACGGGCCATTGAATCGAGTCCCAGTGGCTGAACGGTGTGCGAGCTTGCCTTGTAACCGGAGGGTTCTAGGTTCGAAAATCAGCGGGTGCGTACTGTCGATGAGCCCCCAAACCAGGCCGACGAAACAGCTATCCAGTACACCCTGCTGGTTTCCAATGGTTCTCTAACTGATATCAATCCGTGGCCTTACCTGAAACAAATAGAACCCCTAGAAATTAATTTTTGATAAGTAAGCAATATTGCCTAGTGAGAACTGAAACAATTAACCCCTTTGATAAATTTAAATAAAAAGCATATAGGAGACAAATTTAGCAAGATGATATCATATCGTAATTTAATTACAATCGCTTTACAACTAGCATCGTTCACAATTAAAGGGCAAAATTCTATGCAGAATTCGCACTGTATCTACAAGTTCACCTGCAGGTGCAGTGACATGTTCCAAAGGCATCGAAAAAAACACACTTTCAAATGTGGTTATTAAGACACTTCGAAAATCTAAATGTAATTAATCTGAATAGAAATCCATCATCATCCATTGCAAGGCATTCATTAGTGTCAGTTCATAAAATCAATATTGATGACTGCTTCTCAGACTACTTTAATTCAAGGTTATTTATTATTAAAGGTGATAATAGAAGCTCCTTGGATGAATCACATGCATTCCAAACTCAATGTGTACAGAAAACATCAAACTTCAATCTTTACCTACAACCTTGACTGCTTGACCTACTTAAATATGATTGGTTATAAAAATATACTTTTGTTTTTATTGACTGAGTAATTTTTGATACATTTTATTGCATTATTGTGATGAAGCATGCTAGCTGTGAGGCGGTTGTAGAGAAACTACGGAATGATATTATCACCTCAAGGTATTTGTCTTCTTAATGCCCTACTTTTTAAATATTACCTAGGCTATAGAGTCATAGTTTCTCTTGACATTGTGCAGGTGGGTTTGTCAACCTATACAACTCAGAGGGTTACGCATTCTAGAAAGTTTCTTGTAATGAGTTGTATTCAACTAGTATTTACCAGTACTATACTTTATATACTGAGCGCTTTGATTTCAAAATTTCTGCGAATCTATGAGTTATTCGTCCGACGTACGACTTGACCAGGGCAGTCTACCATGGTTCGTCCATTCAAATTATATCATCGCTCCGCATAAGATAGTATAAGTCCGTTGTCTAGTGTGTGAACTATTTATCCTGAATTTTAAATTTTACGTCCGAATGAAATTTCACAATCTAGATATCTGTGATGAGAGCTGTCTGCTAGCCAAAATTGTAGACAACAATTTACCTCCCAAATCGGGTTCAGGGAAGAAAACAATAACAAAGCCTAACGTTGAGGAACTCAACAACCAATCACAGCAGATTTAGCGTGTGCAAATACGATTCGGAGATATATGGCCTGACTTCCTAAGAAACGGCCACAAGGAGGTTACCGAATAACCGTTGGCAAGAAAACAACCAATCAGAAGACGTTACCTCTCTGCTAACAATAAGGTTAATAATAATTCGTCGTTACAGACGAATATGGTATAATTTTACCTCTTTTCTTTGTTTAACTTGGACATGAAATCCCTGGTAGACATATTTTGACCAACACTCAGGAATATTCGACTGCACTGGTTGACATCAGGTTATGAAATTACCGATGCCATCATCCAGCTCTACAAGAATCGACCAGTGTTAGCGTCTGTCTAAGCTTGAATCACAGGAAGAGCATGAGATTCGGATAATCGTTATTGATAAATGCCAACAGGTTCGAAACCTATGTTGCTGTTTACCTAATGACTTTTCAAATCTAACACATGGAGTTTTATAAGAAGAACATTCTTTAACTCCAAGGGTGTTAACGTAATAGTTGTGAAAATTTTAATTTGTTTAAATCCTTGTGCTATCAGCACAGCCTTCTTCAGAATTCTGAAACTGAAGTGTTATGAGTGCACCGTTGAAGCACTGAAGAGAACGCATTTAAACCATTCAGGTCATCAATAAAATGTTGGTGGAGATATGTAGAAGACACACTAGTAATAGTGAAGTAGAATGATGTTGAGAAACTCTTCTCACACATAAACAGTCAAGTAGACTCAAAAAAATTCACTATGGAAATAGAGAATGAAATTGTGGAACTGCCTATGTTAGACTGCAAAGTACAAAGAGTAACGGATGGTAGCATTAAAACGACTCTACATATTGAAAGAACTACACATTCTGGAGGATTCCTTGATTATCATCACTCAGCTCATCCACTCACGGTAAAACGAGGATTCATGCATGGTCTTGCAGAGAGAATACGTAGACTTACAACAACACCAGAGGACCAGTGTAAAGAAATAAACGTCGTATTCAAAATGTTACTCGACAACAACTAGCCAAAAGAATTTACCAGAGATAATATAAAGAAGAGAAAACAAATAGGGTAAAACTAGAGAATGACAAGAAGGCATGAGGCGAAAAAGCAATCAGTATACCATACAAAAATGGTACATCAGAGGCAGTTAAATAAAAGCCTCGAAAATATTGAGATTCGCACCACATTCAAACTAACGAATCTAATAAGAAATAAAATAAATCAACTTAAAGATCCACTAAGACTGATGGATAAAAGTAGTGTAATTTACAAAATATCTCGTCCCATGAATTCTAACTTCTACCAATTCGTGATGAGTTTAGCGCGACCACCAACCATTGTCATCGGTATGAACTCAATCCTCACACTTGACTGGGTGGAACTCACTGGACACGACTTCTCACTAGAACTCCAGGAAACTCAGTCCTCTAGCAAGTCACTAGGGTGTATCAGATTAATTTTAAAGGGTTGGTTTGTAGGCATGGCAAAGTTCTACATTAGCGTCCCAAGTGATGCGAACGCACGAGTGACCTTGAATCGACCAATCAGAAAAATGGAGAATTTTTACATGAAAAACATCGAGTAGGGTATTTTTGTCTAATATGAAATAAAAAGATGTCCCAATTATAATGGGGGATGTCAGTTTTTAAATTAAACCAATTGCTATACTTGTATTCATCCAGGTGAATAAAAATAACTTGATTTTGAGAGCCGTTTATAGCTCTTATTCTATTTTTTAGTCTTCCCCAGAAACCTGTTGAATTAGTAGAAGTACC